TGAAATGTTGACGCGTGGAAGCCTTTTGGTCCCGGTTGGTGGCACCAACCGGGACAAAAGGCGCCCCTGCCTAGGCAAGCGGCAGCGGCCACGTGGAGCCCCCCATCTATCCCGGTTCCTGGTCGAACTGGGACTAAAGGGACAGGGCTTTAGTAACGACCCTTTAGTCTCGGTCCTCCTCCTCCTCCGCCTCCTCCGGCCCCGTTTAATTTCCCCGGCCCCTGCGCGCCTGGGCGTTAATGCGTAGAGTACTTACTCCATTGCTGGCTAGCTCTCGATCCGTCCGGCCGCGCCACCGGCCGACGCGCACACGCGGGGAGGGGAGGGTGATGGAGACCGCCGGCCGGACCGGTCGAGCTACAGGGTAGACAAGGCTTTGTACTAGTACTATTGTATCATCGCCCCGGCCTTGTTGCTTGCTCCCATACACTTCTTCCTCCTAGCTACATACAATTATTCCCTCCGGTCCGGGGGCTCCGGCAGCGGCCGCGCCAAGCTATATATATTCCCTTCCTGCCCACCAAGCTCCCAACCTCATTCATACATACTCTAGCATCACACACCGCTCAGGCTACAGCAACATAGATATATGCCCTGCCTAATCCCTGCTACCTAGCTAGATATATACCTAGCTTCTTTCTCTCCTCTCTCGAGATCTTGTCGATCTCTTTCTCCTCCGTCTACCTAGCTAGCGCAATTGGTGCCTCTTATAGGCAAGGCAACGGCATCCATCCAGATCTCTCTCCATACCCATAGTACATATTGCAATTCACGATACAAATTGTAGAGAGAGTCGAGCTGAGCTGAGCCAGGAGGTGGTTTCAGAGAGAAGATAGTGAACAGATAGAGAGATAAGCATTTCCATGGGGCTGCGGGACATCGAGATGACGCTGCCGCCGGGGTTCCGCTTCTACCCGAGCGACGAGGAGCTGGTGTGCCACTACCTGCACGGCAAGGTGGCCAACCAACGCTTCGCCGGAGGAGCCACCGGGACCATGGTGGAGGTCGATCTGCACGTCCATGAGCCATGGGAGCTGCCAGGTCAGTTTCTTACTGCTATTAGTTACTGCCGTTAGTTAGTTATATAGTTACTATTAGTACCCGATCCATCTCTCATCTCTAGTCCCGCTCAAAGTAATCTTGTTAATTACAAGCTAACCTACTCTTCGATCGATCTCGATCCACAAGTACGTTGTTAGTCCCTCTCCAGCAAGCTACATGTCTCTTAATTAATTTAACTCCATTCCCTGGAATGATTAACTATGCACGCAACCGCGTTTTATTGGCTCCAATTGGGGCTTGTGCTTGCTTTTGTTAATTACTGCACTAAATTAGTAGTGCTACTGGTTGTATAGACATGCATATATAGCATCTCGATCTGACGCAATTCCTGCAAGTGTTGTGTTGCTTCTAGCACAAGTTTCCCCTTAGGATTTTATGAGTAGGCTACCACTGCAAGCATGAACTTGCTATAATTAATCTGTCAAGTGTGCAGCATACTGTATTTTAAATTCTTTGGAATAATTACTTAAGGAATTTGCTTTCCATATCAGTAATTTTCTTCCACCTGGTGGTGGCTTAATTTTCACCCTTCCCTCTCTCTCTCTTTCTCTAGTATATAGGAGTACTTCCACAAAAAAACTTTTTTTTTGCGGGGAACTTCAGCAAAAAAACTTACTATTCCCCAAATAATGTTTTGAAACTTCGTACTACTAAATTTTTCCTAAACTTACTATGCCCCTCAACTTCTCTTTCTGTGTGGAATTTTACGACATGATAAGATCTAATTATGCACATACGTTTGCATATACACTTGGGGATCCTAATCAACATCCACTGAAGTTTCTCTTGCTAATTGTGCGTCTTCCTGGCTATGGTGGTATGCAGATGTGGCGAAGCTGAGCACAAACGAGTGGTACTTCTTCAGCTTCCGCGACCGCAAGTACGCGACGGGGCTGCGCACAAACCGCGCCACCAGGTCCGGCTACTGGAAGGCCACCGGCAAGGACCGCGTCATCCGTAGCCCGAGGTCATCGTCATCCCGCTCCGGCCGCGCCGCCATCGTCGGCATGCGCAAGACCCTCGTCTTCTACCGCGGCCGCGCCCCCAACGGCAGCAAGACCTGCTGGGTCATGCACGAGTTCCGCATCGAGAACCCTCACTCCCCACCCAAGGTCTATTTGATTGGCAATATCTGATCTTGTTTCAGTATTTTTAACTGCTTTTAGATGCTAATATGTGTGTTTTCAATTGGATTGTATCTGTGCAGGAGGACTGGGTGCTGTGCAGAGTTTTCCACAAGAAGAAGGCCGACACGGAGTACGCCATGGACGGCGAGCAAGTGATCATCGGCGGCATGACTCGCAACGCTACTGCCGTGAGCGGATCCAACTACGTCAGCTCCTCGTCCTGCCACGATCCGGATCAGTACCACCACTCGCCTCCGGCGGCGCTGTTCCCCTCCCTCGGCGCAGGCGGCCACCCTTACCAGCTCACTTCCTGTGATCATCACCCCCACGGCTCGATCGGCGTCTCGCTCACCGACGTGGACCCCTTCGCGGGCATGCCACCGCTGTTGAGCTACGACAGCATCGTCGACTTCAGTCAGCAACTTCAGGGCGGCGGTGCAGCGGCAGGTTTGAGAGACGGCGCTGGGGATCAGTGTGGCGGCGAGCTGATGGACCTAGGGCTCCAGGTGCAGGAGGAGCACTACAACTACAACAGCCTGATGTAGATGTGAATATATGATATGGATCGGTGGGTGCTGCATGCTGTTATTGCTCGGCCATACACAGTAGTGTGTATTGGCCATCATTATTCATTTGTGATCTTGTGCAGATTTCGTTATTTGTGCATGTAGTGTAGGGTAGAAGCATAATACGTATATACTATATTGCAATGGGCCGGTTATATAATTGATCTCGATTAATTAGGATATGTGAGAGAGTGAGGCTGTTGTGTCATGTACATATGTACTGTATGGATCATTTCTGTTGTTGGAGAATGGTGACAAGTTGGGGCATTTGATGTTGTTGTTCCTATACCTGTAATGACTAATAATTATCTATACATATTCAGATTATATCAGCCTGCATTTTGTGAACAAGGTGAGACTTATTTGATTTAGGACGGGCTATCCATTATGTTTTCTGAGTGTCTAAGGCTCAATAGACTTAGGCAGTCTTAAATCAGAGTCCGCGGTGTGCGCATTAAGATATTACTCTTTATTTTCCAATTTATCTTTTTAGAAGAAAGGGTGAAGCCCACTTTTTAACTCCCTAATAAGTTTCGAGCTACAATTTGTGATATTTCTTACCCATTTACCAGAAGTTTTTTTCAAAATACCCCATTAATTTAAGCAGGTTTGTTCCATATTTTATCTCTTCTAGGGTTTTGCCCCCACTATGTTAGGCGAGGCCTACTGTTAGTACGGCGTGGCTATCGCTGGCGCACTCATGTGGGGCGCGTCCCGATGTGGTAGATGAGGCATCAAGCAAGCTAATTCATCCAGGACAGCAACCCCAAGTCGGGCAAAGCCACACCCGAGCAAGTCCCTTCTCTCCCCGAATGCGAGTTTGTGATTTTGGTAGCGCAATCGGCGGTGGTGGTGGAGTCCTGGAGTCGAAGCGGTGGCAGCTGGTATCGTAGAGGGGTTAACGCGGGGATTTTTTCTGATGCTTCGTAGGGGAGACTGTTGACAGCCTAGAAATAAGGAAATGAAGAAATCCTCTTGCTGGCGTGCCTAATCTTCCTTTCGGTGATCACCCGTGATCACCTCGACGGTGTGACCTTAGCCTACCCTATGGCCCGCCTCTGCTACCCTAACTCCCACGCAGTGAAACGGGGACTGGGAGGAGGTGCAAATCGAGTGATGGAGCTTGTCCGGCTAAACCAGCTCAGGCGCAGGCACCCCTATGCCACATCGACAGCGCCTCACGCGATGTACCTTCAATCTGGGGCCGAGTCAACGGAACATCAGAATGGCGGTGCGGCCCATGTTATAGAAGAATGCAAAGTTCTTTAAAGGGAGAAAGAATGGAACAAACTTGCATAAATGGCCTATTTTGAAGAAATTTTCGGTAAATAGGGTAAAAAGTGTCAGAAACGAAAACTTGTGGCTAAAAAGTACGTCCCGGTCTTTTAGAAATTACGTGCAACTTTAGGGTTGAAATTTGATGCGGTCAAATCTTGAAATGATTTGCGCTGAGAGAGGGCACTGTTGTGCAATAAAGATTGACGTTAATTCATTTACTGTATCGCAGAAAAAGTGTGCTCATTTATTAATAACGGTGTCGTACGAACAATAACACCACTCTTTCCACATCATCTCATGAAGCATGACTTCCCTACATGCATGAACGAGACTAGGTCAGCATTATCAGCCATGACTTCCCTAGTCCCTACATGCATGAAAGACTTGGTCAACATACGCTCAGAATACTGGCCTCCATGCATGCATGCATGCATCATCCGTGGAATTTTCAACGTACAGTACATTCTACCGATCCCATTCATGCATCACCGCTCACTGCGAGCTGTAACTAGAGTGTGCACGTACGCTACGCTTACGTGAATGCGGCATAGTTTTCCACGTGAAACAGGCCGAGAATTTTAACTTGGCGTACGAGACTACTATGTGGACACAGTACATCCAGTAGGTTAGCAGTCTGGTTAACGACCCGGTAGGGGTACATCCGTAGTGGCCGATAGCTAGCTACCAACAATGAGCCACTGGTGGTGCTGCATGCATACGCATGTGGCTTCCTGCTGGCTCCTGCCTCCTCCGGTCCTCCTGCTACTGTGCTGAACCTGCGCGGAGACCCACCACGGATGTACGAGTAGTAATCACTGGATAAGGGGGGCACACACCGCACAGCCCGGCCCTCCCCTTGATCCTTTCTCGTCTCTGTCCGGCCGATCGTGTCCTGTTCCCCTCTCCGCTCTGCGCCGGCCATGCCGACGCCGGGCATACGTCTTTGGACGGTGGTGCATGCCACTAGCGGCCAGCAAAGGCCTGCGTTGGATCACCGACCGCCGGATTCTTCCGGTAACTTTCAAGGAGAAAGGGAAAAGCTGATCATTGACCGGAGATGCTGGTGCTTGTATTGAATGCGCGTGCACTAGCTGGAAGTGGACACTCCTCAGAAGCCATCGCTGTGTGCGATTGATTCCAGGCAGTCGAACGTTCGTGGCTCTCTTCGCGCAGAAAAAGTGAAATTGAGCTCTAAAAAAAATACAGCTAAATGTTTTGTGCACTGTTTGAGCACTGACTTTCTTTTTTATGTCGAGAGCTCCTCGAATATTATTTGTTCATGAAATTTTGCAGGTGCCTAAAACATTTGATCATGTTTGATGTCGCAGAGTTTCATAATTTTTCGATTTTTTATAGTGTTTTTTCAATGTGATGCTTTGAAAACAGACATAGGGATACGTTTTTGTGCTTTGAAAACTCTCTCGAACTTAAGTAGACGACCGGTTGGAACGGCTGAGTAGGATTCGACAATTGCTGAGTACGCAAGGAAAGCAAAAACCTAGATTTGCTTTATCGGGTATGAACTCCGAGCTCTAACAATTCCCTCCTCATCTACCAAAACAACCGGAAATGTTTCAAAAAAAGTAGGCATCCGGGTGTCCTTTACCTCGTTCGGTTCCATGAGGTCCAATGGCTAATATTGCTGCTACCTCTTGTGAGGGTACTCTCTTCATTTTTGTATACAAGTGCACTTCGTTTTTAATGTCAAACATTGATTTATATTTTTTCTTTACTAAATATGGGTTATATGTCATCAAAAATATGTCATTGGAAAGTTTTTTGAAATGTGCATCTATTGACATACTTTTTTGTGGCATATAACTCACTTTTTATTGGCGCGACTAATGGTCAAAGTTAGACATACATAAAAATATGAAATGGACTTGTATACAGAAATGGAGGGAGTAAAGATATTGCCAATGATTATGTGGGGCTCGTATGGACTTTGCACTGCCACAAATAAGGAGATAAATTATAGCGTCATTAAAACATAAAGGCTAATGAGGAAAGATATAAAATTCAATTAATGTTATCTTTGCTTTTCAATGGTTTGGTCACAACACAATATGCACCACGTGTACTAATTTGTTTATTTATTTATTTATTCAAGTCGACACTATATTCTACTAGATCATATTATTTACACAATATGCAGTAAGAAACATGTATGAATATATCATACGTGATTTTTTAATACGTAAATATGTTGATTATAAATATGTAAATAAGTATAATTTTTAACATTAGAAACACATGGTGTAATGTTTGAATATTTATGTGGCGTGATGATATATCAGATGATTTTTAATCTAAAACCTCGGGATGTCCTAAGATTAAGAAAAATGTATTTCAGGCTGCATTATGGCATACATTTTACATTGTACATTTTTTGTTGGCCTAAAATCTTAGTGAATGGCGCTAAAGTGGGCTTTTAGTAGCAAATTTTATTTTGAATGTATGCCATATTTTATTTCGAATGAACTTACACAGTATAAATGAAAGTCTATATTTATTGGCAAAGGGGGAATCGCTTCTTGAGAAGTGAGAACACTTATTTTGTTGTACTTACCCTATTTCTATTTTCACAATTGCCCGCAATCAATCAACGGCTAGTATTAAACTTCCCTCTTGCCTTGGGAGGTAAGAGGGTTCATCTTAAAACTTCTGTTAGAAATTTCAACATGAA